AGATCTCCCTGGACAGACAGTATATTTCTAATTCATCTTACATTTTTCTATAGCCTAGTCCTACTGTTTTTCCGACAATTTGCACCTAACACATTCTCATCTGAGTTTTCAAGAAAACCTGCAATGATCATGCCATCCTGCTAATCTCAATCGGCAACAAGCTAACCACCACCACTAATATTATCTGCTGTTCTGCTGTTATGTAAAACTGTATTCACAACATTCTTGTTATGACAAACCATGCTCTCTGGACAATTATCATTACCATTCATAATTTGCGGTTTCCTAATGTCCTTATATAATCGTTTTTATTTAAAATGTGCCTCTTGAATTTAATAAGTTCTCATAAGAACCCCTCGATTTTCATCTATTTCCATAAGCGCCCCCTCAATTTCCACTCTGTTTTGATAAGTGCCCCATTCGAATAAGCGCCCCATTTGAATAAGCACCCCTCAAAAATTGCAAAAAATATTTTTATATTGAGTATGGTTTAAATAACTTGATTAGAAATTGAACTGGGAAAATATTGCCATATTGCTTTCCTAAATAAATGTTACAAAAGGTATTGGTCCAAAATGTAGTTTTTTTTCCCTAAAATTTTAGGCCTAGGTCCTACATAACCCGTTATTCCTAATGTATATATTGTATCTGCCTCTGACCTAAGCTAATTGCTTAATTACGGTATACTATATTTCTAAGCAGCGCATAGCATAAACTTGCTTAGACATTTTTTTAAGGCTTCAGTGTGAAACTTATTTAAAAGTAGCGCATACATTGTAAGTTCTTAGACGTAAAATTTTGTTTTTCACATGACTCTTTATGTACAATTTTGATTTTAATCCCTTTCCATTGCTTGATTTTAAGTTAATTTTATTATGTATCTTTTTGTGTATTCTTATGGACGCATTTTGGATGATGACCACACATACACACACTCATATACATAGGCCTACATATATGGACAATACCTGTCTCTTATACACATCTAGATGTGTATAAGAGACAGCTTAAAAGGCTATGGCCTTAACGGCTCCAACAAGACATGTTTCGGCAGTCTACTACCATCGTCAGTTATCATTAGTATAGGGAAGTAAAAAATTCAATGTTTTGCATGCTAAAAAATTGTGTAATGAACTGTAACAAAACTACAAAACAAAATATAAATAATGATGAGGTAAAAGCAGAGAATCTATGCCACAAAGGACAGAATGGAATGAATTTAAAATGACAAAGATAAATTAACATGAAGAAGCTGTTTGTTCATATACATATATATATACCCATATATATATGGTTGATGAGTGTACAGCATTTTCCTAACATTACTGATTCCTACATAGATTCCTAACCCAACCTAACGATAGACCATACCAAGTCTGATGTTAATCTAATATCACCCATGATATATATTGCTTACTGTATGCCCTGGAATCATGAGAAAACACAATTTAACAGTACAAGATCTTACACTTAATCTCTATTTCTATGTAAGCGCCAATACATGAAGCCTCGCAAAAAGAAAAAAAAAACAAAACAAAACATATCAACTTCTCTACTCTATGCTTAGCCATATAGAACATCTTAGAATATTAATACGCAGCACTAGAAGATTAGCAATTCCCCCATTGAATGGTTGATTCATTTGAAAATCTAAACGAAAATCGAGTCTGTGGGCCTAGAAAGAGCAGGTGTACAGTATTCCAGGGCCATCGCCATCGGGCCCCTCCCCAGGATTTATCCTAGCCTGGGACGACAAAACCATACCATACATAAGATGAACATACTGTACAGTATGTAAGTTAAGAATAGAAAATAAAAAGCAGAAGATATCTGTGGACATTCTTTAGAAAGACAGTAAAATGGAAGTTAGCACATCGGCCTTTTCTGTTCCCCAATTTCCATACTAACCCAAAGAGCTTAACCTAGCTTCCTATTAAATAATAAAGTCAACTACTAAGGTGATGTATGCAAAAATAGGCTTCAGATTGAACTTAAGCCATCACATACATTTTGATTGGTTGCTCAATTTCAATTTTTCCACCAAATGCTTTTCCCTAAAAAAAAATCTATGCGGACCGATTAGTAAGCACTCACTGTGCTGTAATTGGTCGAGTACCAAACTCGTATATGTAGCACTGTAGCAGGCGTAGGCAGAATGATTTAGGCTAAGCCAAAACTAGTCCTGGCCAGACCAATATTATCCAAGGAGGACCAATTTTGGTGTAACAGGCCTAATGCACTTTCGCCCCTAACTTTTAATTTTTTTTCTTCAATGTTTTTCTCATAGTCACAACACAAAATTATAAAACATTTTTACATGATTCAACCACTCACAAAGTACATTTTTCAACGCAAAAAATATACCTTTATAAATACAGGTTGTTAGGGCTTACAGCATTTCCATGCTTCCTAGCACAACGAGTCTACTTTGCTGCTTTGCAATCAAGTAAGAAATTGCCAGAATGTCCGAGTCAATTCTTAAATTTTGAAACAAAGCCAGTCTTGTTTGAATCTGGGGCGAATTGCTATAAGCGGTCTTTAGACGGTCTTAATGGTTTGCCGGCTATAATTGTGACGTCACTACTGGTCTATGATTATAGACCATTGCTATACCACGGTCTAACCAGTTAGCCGTCTTAAATTTTAAAGCCTACTCGGAGGAGGCTTATAACGGTCTTAAATCATTTTCATCATGGTGTTCTGCTGATTAATTCAATAGTGCAATGGCAAGACCTAGGCCTAGATCGTCAAAGTCGGAGAATCGAACGGCGAATATTCCGCACACTTCTTAGCGTCTGTGAAAATAGGTCTACGTTTATTTACGTTCATTTCGATATATTTGCGTGCGTCGAGCATGCTTGACATCGCCCTCAATCTTACGTAACCTGCAGGGAGTGCTTGTTTGCATTTCAATACTCAAAGCAGTCTTTAGGGAAGACTGTTTTATAGCAATGGTCTTCGAGGAATAACTTTAGTAAGACTGTCTAAGTGATTAAAGCCGGTTTTATTCGAGAAGTTAAAACTACCAGTTAAGACCGTTTTATAGCAATCCGCCCCTGAATTTTCCCATGAAACATCCTTCAACAAAATGTGGCATCATTACATGTTACCATCTTTTTGAGCTTTCTTGTCGTAATCAAGGTTAATCGAACCAATGTTTAGCATTCAGAGGTGTTGTGGGAGGTCCCCCCCCCCCCACACCCCCTGTTGGGGAGAAAAACCATAATTATTCTGGGAGAAAAAAAAAATTATATGCCATTTTCTACATATTAGTAGACACTAAAATGATTAAATAAGTCTTTGAAACCCCTAAATTTTGGCTTCGCCCCTGGACCAGGCTTTCGGAACATTTTAAGCGATGCTTGCCACGCCCACTTTGCTGTCTTTGGGGAAATCTGCCTCCTCATCGGGGCTACCACCTGTCTCTTATACACATCTAGATGTGTATAAGAGACAGGGATTAGGCCTAGGCCCTATTTGTATATCTGTGTACGCATTGGATCATTACTGATTTTGTAAAATTAATTATTGTACATGTGAATTTCATAATCAAACAACAACACCATACAATATAACACATTTAACTGAAATGACATACGAACGCAAATAAGTAAGTTTCCATACAATCAAAAAACTTCGCGCTGTAAACTCAAACATTCTTGCAATTTCTTACTTATTGCAAAATGGCAGCCGCTCGTCCTAATGCTACTGAGCACAGATTCGCTGTACTTACTTGCGGGCTTATTTGTTGAAAAAGGTACTTTGTGAGTGGTTGAACTATGTGTTACTTATATGTTGTGACTGTGAGAAGAACACTGAGGTAAAAAAATTAAGACTTAAAAGTTAGGTGTGAAAGTGGATTAGCGCCAGAAAATTTATGATTGTGGCACCTCTAGATGGCACTCCTAGACTCTAGTCGAATTTTCTTAATTTCTAAAGAATTTTGACAAATTTTGGTGTTGCCCGGGCCCTATGGTTCAGGACGGGTCAACGGGGGGAACTACATTGTCTGTAGTAAAATATTTCAATTGCGCGGTTGATCACTGGCCAGGCTAGGCCATGGGCCAGTTCTCAAATTTGAGCTTAAAATCGCTAGGAAAATAGATACGCAGAATCGTAACAATAAGCATCTAGGCTAAGGCTACAATAGCAGACTTCTCAAGTACTAGGCTTACAGAACTTCCGTAGTTACAAATTTTGCCTAATTATGGACGTAGTACGGAAATATAGACAAAAATACTAGTGAAATTTATCATGGCCTAGGCTACCAATAAATATAGGCCTAGGTCTAAAGTCCAAAACAAATTACTCATCAGACATTGTCCCTAGACAGGGGCTGATCAAGAGATGTCTAAGGTGGGGGGGGGGGTGAAAGTGGGGTCCGATCAAGACAACACTACATTACCTTAGGGGTTCTGGAGGAGGGGAATTTCCCCGCTAGAATTGTTTCCTAGATGCCTGAAAACCTGAGGCGTTTTGGCCTATAAATATTTAATTCTTTTTCTTTCTTTTTTCTTTTTTTTTTATTACTTTCCAAAAGAGGGAACCATGGCCGACCCGGCCCACCACCCTAAATCCGTTCCTGCTAGACAGACAACTTGTATTCGTCAGATTACTTATTAATGAATAATATAAAAATAATTAAGAAAAGTGGCCCGTAATCTTCATCGGTTTGTTTGAAATTTGGGAATCATGCTGGATAATGATCTTAAAACATGTTATATTTTCATTGCGGATTTTTTGGGCTCAGTACGGACTCTAAACGTATGTATTTTCTTTTAGTTTTAAGGCGTATGCGGATTTTATAAGTCCGCAATGACGATATAACGTGTTTTAAATGGAATAGCAACACTGAATCTATTGTCACCAAGTCTAATAACAAATTATTTTCTTTTATAGGCATTAAAAAGATCAGGCCTTTCAGCTGATGAATTAGTCTCAGTTTATAAAAGCTATATTCAACCAATACTTGAGTACGGTGCACATCCTCTTTGGCATCCGGGGCTAACCAGGGTACAAACTCAAATTTCGAAAGAATCCAAAAGTGTCTAAATGTATACTGGGAAATGTTTTTAACTCGTATGAATCCTCCTCCTTGGTCGTACTGGGACTTTTGCTACAAATTCATCATAAGGGCCACCAAGTCCAGGGGC